TGTCTTAAATTCAATTGTATTGAAATATTATTTATATTATGTGTAATTTTTAATTTAAAGAAAGAGCTAATGATTAAATATCAGATATTTTCAATTAATATTAATGAATGAATTAAATTTATTAAGTTCAAAACAAAAGATTACCTAAATAATTTAAAATTAATTTTCAAACTGTGTGCTAATACCATTATAATTTATCTCAGTTTAATCCTAATAAAAAAATTAAAAGACATAAATTTATTATTATAAATATATATTTATAAATTAGATTTATTTCACAATTTGAAAACAAATATCATTCAATAAATTAATGTTTTAAAATAACTAAAATATTTTTTTTTAAAGTGTGCCATACTATATATTTTGTTAATAGAAGATAATATCAATAATCCATTAGAAATTTTTCTATATGGAAAATAAATTTATTTATATAATCATTATACTCACTAACGAAAAAAGTATTAGAAATTTGTGATTTAATAGAATATTGTTTTAAGTATATATTAAAATTAGTAACTTTGTTTATGAATTTAACCAAGCAGATGAATATATTATTTCAATTAAGTAGATGATAATTTTTTGGAAGGAGATTTGAATGATTACGAAGAAATAAAACTAAATTGATTAAGAAATCATTTAAGAATGGTTTATAATTTTTTATTAATAAACTAAAGCTAAATGAAAATTATCAAATCCATAGATAAAAAAAAATTATTAAATTTTTTCTAAAGTTGAATAAAAAAATTAACAAAACTTAAATAAATGGGTTTAATCTTGATATATCTCATATTGAAATTTATTTTTCTTAATTGAAGTATTAATCTTGATTAAAATAGAATGAATTAGTCCAAAAAAAATTTGATAATATCAAAGCATTTAGGATGTAGAAGTTAGAGAATTTGAATGTGATATTTCTAATCAAATTTAATTCTTTTTAAAGATATTTATAAAATTTTTAAATAATTTATTATCACTCTTTGATTTAATAATCCTTCAAAAATAATTCAAGTAAAATCTATTTATGGCTTCCTTTAAACAAAAAATGATGATAATAAACTTGCTTTATTGAAAATTGTCTCAGAATACAAACAATTTACCTCTCAAAGTCAAAAACAAGAATTAAAAAAAGCATATTAAAGTTCAATATTTATATTTTATTTATTTTTTAGTTATTTCAAACAATAAAATAAATTTGGCTAAGAATATATATTCGAGAAATCCAAAATATTAGATAAGTCTATAAATGAAAAAGTAACAAGTATATAAATAATTAGCTTTATTTAAAATCTATCAAATGAAAATCCAATTATAAACAAATTAAATAGATTAGAAAAACAATAATTTTAATTGAGAGAAATTAAATAAAATCTTTAAGATCCACGAATAATAAATAAATTAAAGAAAATGTTTTATAAAATATTTTAAGTAATAATTTCAATTGTTAATTGCTCTTGAATTTGCTGAAAAAAGGATTCTGAGAAAACAAATAATTATGCAAGAAAAAGTTACATATATGATTTCAGATATAAAGGCTATAAAACTGGATTTCTTTTAGCCTAGTTTTAATTTAGGAAAAGGTTATTATTAATAATACTATATAATAAATAAATCTATTAAAAAAGGCATTCATTGAATGGTAAAATCAATTGATTTTAGATCCTTCACATTCTAATTATTATTGTGAAAGATCCCTAGTGATAAGCAATAAGAATCGTTATGAAAACTCTTTGAACTATATTATTTTAGCAATTTAATACAATCTGGAAGATTCATAATAAATTGGAGCAAATTTTATACTTTAGATAATAAATCAGGCAGGTTCATTAATAAATAATTATTTTATTTTAAATTATAAGACATCTCAATTGATTTGACAAGCTTTAAAATAATCAAATTTAGAAAGAGTGTGGAACCTAAATTTGGCTAATGATTATGAACTTAAAGGTATATCTGATTTGAAAAATAAAAGTAAATATATGAATCAATAATTGATCTAATTTTAACTATAAAATTTTAATTAAAGATTGAATAGGACCTGAAATTTTTTGAGAAAATTAAAAAGGGAAATAGAAGGTTAGAAATATGATGAAGAAAATGGTAGATATTTATACATTATTATAAAATTTTAGCTGATACATTAAGAGCATTTAATCAAAACAAGAAGCTTTGAAGTTTTATGATATATATTTTAGAATAGAACCAAACAACCCAAACTCATAAAATGTAAAGTATCACACTCTTATAAATTATTAATGTATTTTGATAAAATTTTTATCAATTGATTAATTATTAATATCGGCTACTTTATTAAATAGTTCAAAATTTTAAAGAACTACAATTATATAATTGATTATCTTTTCAATAAAAAACTGATACTTTCTTATGATTGATAATATTATTAAAACTAAGGATAATTATTATTAGCGAATCCAAAATTATATATTCTTCAATCTACAAGACAGTTAATCTTCTTTAACATTAATTTGGTCTTTAGAAATATTATATTAAGCTTTTAGATTAAATTAATAAATAGCATTTACAAATCTTATAAATTTCGGGATATATTAGGTAATTATAACACAAAACATATATCTCTTCTAAATTGTTATTATGATTAAACATACTTAATAGAATTATTTTCATATGAATTAGATCTTATAATTCAACTGATAAAGAAAGCTGTTTTCTTAAATCAACCATAAGCAGCCAACATCATATTTCTTAAAAATCAAAAGTTAATAAAGTTCTGATAATTTTTACAATATGGTATAGTTTAAATATTAAGCCATTAAATGTAATTTAATAATGGGTTGTCTAATATTTTGAAGATAACTAAAATATTTTAAGAATATCAAATCATTTTTTTTAGCTTCGTATATTGAATTGAAGAAATATTGTACAATTTATTAAAATAGATTACTCAATATGAGAATATAGAAGGAGTAATGATTTATTTAAATCTAATTTTTAACGATTAAAATACTTATAAGATATTATTATTTCTGTATTGAATTACAACACATTATAAAATAAATATTATAATTAAAAGATATTGATGCAAATATAAGTATTAAAATAAATAATATTTATGACTAAACTTTGTCTCTCTTTTGTAATGCATGTAGACTATAAATATTAAAATAATTCTTAGATATATTTTGATATTAAATACTTAAGGATATATAAAATATATATTAATACTTAACCTTTTCACTTTTATGTGGAATTTGCAATAGTCAAAGCCCTCTATAGGATTTAAAAATATGGACATAAAATTCATTAAAGAGTTCTTTAATTAATATTATGACATCTTGCCAAAAATTTCTTTTTGAATTTTCTTAATTTATGTCATAAATTAAATAATTCAAGCACTAAGATTATATTTTAATTATGGAGTTGTTTATTAAAATGTTGAAAACAACATAATTTTCTAATATTAATATCGATGTTTTTTGAGTTTTCGTTCTTTAATCAATTTTTATTATTGCGGATGAGAACTTAAGATTCTTTAAAAATACTTCTTATAGGGGGATTTAATTTTTTTACCTCCTTACGACACTTTATATTTCTCCTTATATAGAATACTAAATACTAATTGTTGCTAATCCTCATTGATATTTATTCTCAAGTTATTTCCATACTTGACCACCTCCTATTTTTGTTACAAAATAAACCCAATTTATTATCCTATAGTTTTTCTATAACTACTTAATCATTTATATTTCATTATCCAATTAATAGACCTTCCTAGTGTAATCAGAAATATTGACTCCAATCTTGTCTTCTTTTATAATAATTCCATTAATTTTATATATAATCCACATCATACAGATACTCAAATTCCTAAATGTATGTTTAAGGATTTATGAAGTTCTTTTATAACATCTTTCCATTTCCAACTACGTCTTTCTAAATTTATTTCTATTCTACATATCAATAGGATATAAATTTTTCCCTTCTTTATAATTTTAGTGATTTTATTGAATCTTTAAATAAAAAATAACTAAATTTTATTGTGTTTCATTAAA